TTAGTGCCCCTATATAATAAATGATTCATCAACTGCATAATAGTTTTATCATCATGTATTAATACTAACCCATCATTATTAAACTCAATATTTGGGACCCTATAATAAACATAAGTTAATGCACATAGCCTAATGATTTCACTTGCTCTATTATTTTTCAATAGGATGTCCTATCAAGATTTATCTCAAATCTATCCATATTTGCATTAATATAATCAAAATAAGGTTCAATAACAAATTGACCACCATGAAAATGTCTTAACACATAAATAACCTTAATATCATCATCTATTCTATATTTTATAATAAAATAAGATATAAGCAGACAAATAATGAATATCTTAATACATAATCATATAAAACATAAAACTTTATTATGCATAAATAGAAAAACACTGAATAATGCATAAACATATAAACAATGAATATCTTAATACATAAACCATGCAAAATAGAAAACTTTATCATACATAAACAAAAAACATTGAATAATGCATAAATAGACAAACACTGAATATATTATGCAGACACAAGAAAACATTTTATCATGCTTTAGGACCTATTTTGAAAAAGTATACCCCAAACCCTAATATGACATACTAACAAATCTTTTAGGGTTCATTTATTGTTTAACCCCAATAAGACAAGCATAAGTAGGACCATTGTGTTGTTGTTTTTAACTTTCATAAAATAACTTTAACCATATTAAAATTTTTTTATTCAAAGGAATCTCAAATCAAAGATGGGTTAAAGAAGAACATCCTTCACAACCTTTCAAGATTTGGCTTAGTCAACTCGTCACCTGAGTTGAGACAAAAAATCAAATTCTTCAAAAATAAATAGCTTTCCAGATTTGGCTTTAGGGTTTCAATAATTGCATTTTCAACTTTCAAGATTTGACAACAAAAGGTTAGAGTTTAAATTTCATTTTAGAGTTTAAATGTTTAGGGTCGATTTGGCTTAATTGCTTTTAAAAAATTTCATATTCGAAAATTAAAGATATTAAAAGGTAACTAATTAAAGTTTTTTTTTTTTTGGGTCAATTTGGTTTAATTACTTTTGGAAAATTTCAGATTCAACAATTAGGGATTTAAAAAAGGTAATAGATTAGGGATTTTTTTTGGGTCAAAATATTTGGAATTTGAAAATGTGTTTCTTTAGGTTCTTCAATCTTAATTGCTTTGTTTTTTCATTTCCAATATTATAGATAAACCCCTAAAACTAATCATAAAATACCAAGTGTGGTTCTGTAGCCAATAACCATCATTTCCAATTCACGTGCCACGCTGAAATAAAATTGACCATGTCATGTGTCATGTATTTAATAAATACCACATATAATTCCATTTAATAGCTTAAACAATTATCATCCAATTTAGGGCTTAATTGATTGAAATTAAAAATATAAGGATTTTTTTGTTGCAATAAAACATTAGAGGCTTAATTAAATATTTAATTTTTGTTTAAAGGTTTTTGGGACCCTTAAGCCAAGACAAAACCATTATATTAACATTTAACAACTTATCAAAGCCCCTTTAATAAGTAACATTCATGTATGGGTGAAAATTATTAATTCAATTTTGTAAATTCTATCATGAACATTTTGCTAACAAATGGTCTTAAACTACTTTTTAAAATTCTTACCATAATTATTCTATACTTATCAAAAACTTTAAATCCACAACCAATTTAACATAAGATCACCAATTTCTTACTCTCTACTCGAATCATATTATCTAACACCAGTGGCTAGCATAACTTGTAGCAGTATAAAGCCTTCCTTGGATAGTTTAAATGTCCCTGATTGTATAGTAAACACATTCACCCCCCCAAAGAAAAGAACACAAAGTAAATAAAGAAAAAACATTAAACCTCCAAAATTTTCAACCATAAATACAGTCATTGAAAAACTAAAAATAACTTGGAAAAATAAAAAAAAAAACAATACTTTGAATGAAACATACATCTTAAGGCACAAACTCAAGGGCCCTCAGCCTTCTCTTTGTAAATTGAATGACCTGCAAAAAATCTAGGCAACAACCCTGATATCAAATAAAACACTTTCAACATTATAAAAACTACAGATAAAAGCTACCACACAATTTGTGTTAAAAAAAAAGTTGGCGACTTTGGCTTTACTTGAAATTGGTGGCAATGAAATAGAAGAAGAGTTATTAAACCTCTGTTTCTGGTTGAAGTACTCATATTGGTAGCATTTGAGAGAAAAGTTGAAGGGTTTATGGTCAAATAAAGGGGATTAAATTTAAAGGCATGGGTTTGGGTGGGTTTAGGTAAAGGGAATGAGTAAGAGAAGAAAATTTTTTAAAAAATAAACATTAAAAACTCACAAATTGAAGATTTGATTAGAGCCAAAATCCTAAAATATTGAGTCTTTGAGGAATATAAAAAATTGAGTTAAGAGAAAAACAATTGTAAAAAAAATAAAAATTTCAAGTTGAGATCAAGCAAAATCTTCTACAATTTTTTTTTTAGAAATTAAAAATCTCATTTAAAAATCTCATTATTAAAATTTAAAAAAGTTAAACAATTGAACAAAAAAAATGTTTGGTTTTGCAAGTAGTTTATACTTGATGAAGGTTCTATGAATCACTTTTTTATTTTTGTCAAAAGCAAGGGAGTGTAAAAAAAAAAATTGTAAAAACAAAAAATCGAGAAAGAAGAAAAAAAAGTGAGTTATTGGTTTCTCACTTTCCCCTATCCATTTTTTTTCTTTCTATCAAATAAAAAAACTTTGTGTGATAGAAGCTTTCATGTAGGTATGAAAAAAAAGTAGGAAAGAAATGAAAGAAAAAAAGATAAAAATAGATCAATAAAGAAGGGCCATATGGATAAGTTTGGGAGAGGTCAATATTAAAATGTTGTTAAAGATCTTTGCTAAGAAATATGGTTTTGTGATTGAAAAACTATGTTTTTGACATAGAAAATGTAGTTTAAATAATTTTTTTAAATTTAACTTTTTTTATTTATTATCAACTATGTTTTGAAATAAAAAAGTAATTTTTGATAGATTATCAACTACGTTCAAAAGCAAAAATTATGATATTTGTTAGCTTTTCAACTACATTTTTTTTATATCAAAACATGGTTTTTGTTAGCTATTCATGTCAGAAACCTTTCATCTACCCTTTTTTTATTCTTTCTTTTGCTCAGATATTTTTAGATATAGAAAAAATCAAAAAGCAAAAAAAAAAAAACAAACCATGAAACCGCCACGTAGCATTCCTAATGAAAAATCTCATGCTCTATACATTTACAAAATTTATCCTTATAGTTTGTTTTTGGCCTAAAAGGAAAGGAAGACAGTTTTTGTGTTTTTTCGTTTGAAATCTTTGTTGACAGAAAAATATTTTATGTTGACTTTACTGTTTTTCCTTCCAAACATATGAAAATGAAGAAAATGTTTTCTGAAAATCGTTTTTATGGTTACCAAATGGAGCCCTAGAAACATCATTATTTTTTTCAATAAGGATTGCATTTTCTATTTTAGAAATGTCATCTCTATTGAATTCTGAAAAATATATTTTCTTGTTTATAACAAAAATTGTGTTTTTATCCTAGAAATATTGTCTTTTTAAGAAAAATTGTGTTGTTTTATCTTAAATATGTTGTATTTGTTAAATTTTAAGAAATATTTTTTTATATTTTTAATAAATATCATGTTTTTTATTTTACAAATATCATTTTTGTTGAATTATAAAAACTAATTTTTTTTCATCTTTTCAATAAAAATGGTGTTCTTAATCATAACTTTTGTGAGATTTTAATAGAACTATGTTAAAAACATGATTTTTGTTTAAAATATATTAAGAAAAAATTATTTTTATAATATTTTATAAAAAATTACTATATTTTTTTAAATAAATAACGTTGTTTATATAATCTAAAACTATAATTAAGGACAAATGGAGAAAAATTTTTATTTTTTCTCCGAAATCTTAAAAAATCTCAAAAAAGAGAGATTTTGATTGCTTATACATTTCACATTTTGATATTATTCGAAATCTTAAAAAACCTAGTAATCACATTCTTATAAATTAAACAAAAAATCAAATTATAAAAAGTAAAAATTTTTTAAAAAAATTATTTTCTTTCAAACCAAACGTTCTCTTAACGAAATTCAATTTCATGTGATAAGCCAAATAGCTCAATTCTTCACCTGCCCCAAAAAATTTACTTCTCATAAGAAAAGGAGATTTTTTTTTTTATATATAGTGAGAGAAAATGTATTAAAACTTAAAATAGTGGAAAAAATGGTTTTTAGCTTGATTAAAATTAAATAAACAAAAATCAAAACATGATACTCACATGTAAGAGTAGTAAAATTGATTGAGACTAAAAATTCTATTTAAATTTAAATCAAACCAAATTCGATTTTGAAAGAAAGTTTAAGTGAAAGGAAATGCCTTTTACACAATAATAATTAAAAATCTAATAAAACAAAAATTAAAATATAATACTCACGAATAAGAATTGACAAAATTGATTGAGATTTAAAAGATTTATTTGAATTCAAATCATGTCAAATTTGATTTAAAAAAAATCTAACTATTTAAATTTGCATGTTTAAGTACGAATTGATTTAAACATAAAATAATCTAAAATCAAATCTAAAATATTAATTTAGAAATAATTTTTTTTTGTTTTAAAACTTAACTAATTCAATCCTAAAATAACTAGAGTATTAAATCTAGAAAATTTAAAATTAAAATAATTTAAATCCAAAATAGTTTGAATTTAAAGCCATTTAAATTTTTTCAATTCAAAATAACTTCGTGTAAAACATACAATTAAAAACAACCCGATCCCTTTTATTGTTATTTTTGCACATATTCAATAAGTCAAATTTGATTTTATTTATTTATTTATTTTTCAAATATTTGTTTGTTACACGTTCTCAGCAAGTCAAATTTGAATTTTTCTTACTTAAATTAAAAAAATAAAATGATAAATTAATCTTACAATTTTTTATTATTAAATGTCAAAACTTGGAAATTTCCACGGAACAACCAAAGAAAAAAAACAAAAAAAGAGCGTTGTTTACCATCTATGCGGAATCATAATCGAATATCCTGAGTTAATTCAATCAATTCATTCCACCCATTTGTTCTTCATAAGCGATGCAACCAACAAAAAAAAAAAAAAAAAACCCCTAATAATCACCCCAAAAATTAAAATAAAGCTTTATCCATGAACAAGACACTCTTTGTTCACCTTGTACCTCTCGCTAATCGTACTTGTACCTTGTTTCATATTTTCCTTTTTATTTTTTTATTTTTTATCTTTTATCCTAGTTGTATGTATGCTTGTTTGCCTATAAAAATCTGGTTCAACCGCTCATAGTTAAAGCTTCGAAAACCCAGAAACAAAAAAAAAGCAAAAAAAGAAAAAGAAAACCTTTTTTTTTTTTTTTTTTTCTGTCGTTGACTTGTTTCTGAGCTTCCGTTTCTTCATCGATGGAAGGAGAAGCAGGTGGGTCCATCACGTGCGGTTCATGGATCCGGAGACCCGAAAACGTCAACTTGGTCGTGTTGGGTCGGTCAATGACCCGACCGGGTTCTTCTTCCTCTTCTTCTTCGGCTATCGAGATTTTCTCTTTTGATCCCAAGACAACTTCACTCTCTTCATCTCCACTGGTAAGTTCGTTTTCCGTTATAACAAAAATTGTTGGGCTTGTGCACAATAAAAAAAAGAAAATTTTTTTTTAATTGATGGAATTGGGTTTTTCATACTTAACTGAGCTTGATTGTTGGGTTTTTTTCCTTTTTTTCATAAAAAAAATGCTTTTTTATAACGACAGTGACTGTCATTTTATGTTTTTTTTTTTTTTAATATTCATTTATTTGGAGTTAATACTTACATATTTAGATTTGTTATATTAGGCTAGGCATGAGCTTGAAGAAAGTGATGGTGATCCAATAACCATTGCAGTGCACCCAAGTGGAGATGATTTTGTTTGTTCTACCACTAATGGAGGCTGCAAGTGAGTTTTTTTTTTTTTTTTTTTTTTTGTTTTTGGGTGCTTTTTTACTGATATTCTTATCTGTTATTTCCGTAGCTTGGAAATGTATGAATAGTCAATTTTGTTTAAGTATTGATTAATATTGTTATGAAATACTTTTTAATGGACATTAGGCTGTCGTTTTGTTGAAGGTATAAGAAACTTTTTATTCTTTTATGAGATTGAAACCAAAGCAAGTTGTGTGCTTGGAATAACATTGTGAGAATTTGCTGATTAAATCTGTGACTTGGGATTTCCTTGTATCTTGAATCGTTGTATAGTTTCAGGGATCTTTTGCTCTGCTTTCTCTCCTTTCTTTTTAGTGTTTAAGGAAGGTCGTAGTGAGATGTGATGGAGTTTGAGATTTTTCGATCTTGAGGACAGTAATCACATGGCTTGCAAAAGTTTTTTTTTTTCTTTGGAGCAGTTTGATGGAAAAGTGGGATATTTTCTCTATTTTAACCAGAGAGTTTTGTGTGATAGAAGGGGGTTTAAACGCTTGCTCTTCTTCTGAGGTTTTTTTGCATTTAAAAAATGTACTAGAACTGGTTTCTCTTTTCTCAATTAATATTTGCTTTTGGTCTTTTCTAACAATGATGCCAGTTTGTTGGGCCTCTTTGTTGTTCAAATCATGGGCTCATGCTTCCCTGTTTGGTTTTGAGGAATTTTTTTCAATAACAATGTTCAGTTTTTTTTTTTTTTTTCCTTGATTTTTCCATTTAAGGTTTGCGGGCTCACTCTTGGCAGTATTCGTTTGAAGCCTTGTTCATAAGAGTAGAAGAGTTGCAAAATATGTTGGATAGTATAAGTCAAAATTAATATCACCCTTGGTAAAATTATAAGATCATCTACAAAACAAAGGTGAGCTAGTGCCTCTTTGGTACAATAGGGATCAAAAGTAAAGGTCTGTTTCTTAGCAGAATCATCAAGGAATCTAGAAAGCACTTTTGACGACCAGGACAAAGAGCTAGGGAGAAAGGAGATTACCCTGACTCAACCCCTTTGTGCCAGAGACATATCCCTCTAAACCTTCGTGATCCTTGGAAAAGTAATGGTCTCATGGTCATTTGTTTATGTAACTGTGTTATTCACCATCTAATGCCGCTTTATCTATTTGTTTGGTCATACCCCCTTTCTTTCTTTCTTTCTCATGTGGTCATTTATTGTGCGGGCTATCATCTATTTATTTATGTAAGTACACATGATATTATGCATTGTGGTCTGAGAAACAAGGGGAAGTTTTGACATTTCCAGATTGATGGTTATTACAGCTAACAATTACTTTCCATTATCCATTGCCCTACAACACTTAGGCAGATTGTTCTTATGGAACGAGATATTTCTTGTGATGTGCAGGTTGTTTGAGTTGTATGGTCAGGAGACAAATTTAAAGCTGTTTGTCAAAGATTTACCTCCTCTCCAAGACGCTGGTCCACAGAAATGCCTAGCTTTCAGTGTTGATGGTTCCAGATTTGCCACTGGTGGGGTGGTAAGCAGTCACCTGGAATTAATCAAGACTTTGTGTGTGTGTGTGTGTTTTTTTTTCCCGTGTTGGTAACTGCTATCTTGATCAACAATAGGATGGGCATCTTAGAATCTTGGAATGGCCAAGCCTGCGCGTCATTGTAGATGAAGTAAGAGCACATAAATCCTTTCGGGATATGGATTTTAGGTAGGAATTGAGCCTATTTGTGTGTAATCGTATAGAAAATCCTTTTTTGCCCTTTAATTTTTTATACAAAGTTAAATTATTTAAGTAGGTATTTCTTTTTGAAAAAATGAGATATTCTGATTTCTTCTAGATATGTTGTTGACAAGATATTCTGTTAGAAGGCTTCTTTGCTCAAAAAATTTTAATGACCATTTAAAGTGGCCTGAATATCTTTTTGTACATCTATGGCCTTTTCATAAAAAAGTGAATCATAAAACATATTTTTCTAAGTTGTTTAAACTGAATTTGGTTTATTTTGATGGTTTTTGGTTTCCAACCTAACTTTTGAATGTGGCCTGGGTTGTTTGTCATATTCCAGCTTAGATTCAGAGTTCTTAGCTTCAACATCTACTGATGGTTCAGCAAGAATATGGAAGGCGGAAGATGGTGTTCCTTTGATGACTTTGGCTCGCAACTCGGTACCATTTCTTTAACCAAAGAGTTTTTGTTGAATGCTGCAAAATTTAGTCTTTCTGACAAATTTTTGGTATGCCTGTTCTGTAGGATGAAAAGATCGAATTATGTCGGTTCTCCAAGGATGGGACAAAACCATTTTTGTTTTGTACTGTTCAGAAGGGTATGCATACTTTTGTTTGAATTAAACAATTTACCTTCTGTTATTAGTTTACTTTTATTAAACTGTAATGCTGTAATGTGACAGATGATAAAGCAGTTACTGCAGTTTATGACATAAGCACGTGGAATAAAATTGGGCATAAGAGGTTACTCAGAAAGTCTGCTTCCAGTATGTCCGTCAGCCTGGATGGCAAATACCTTGCTCTGTAAGCATTTAGCATTGCCTTTTGGGTTTCTGCTTTCTAGTATCGTGGTTCATGTTGGAAATTAGCAAAATGCAGAATTGTTGCTTTTGGCTTGGTTTGGTATAATTTGGTTTGCCTGTTTGAAAATGTCAAATTCCTATAGTATTAATTTTCAAATTTATTCCCAAGTAATTTTTTTTCACTGTCGAATTTCGCGTGTGCTCGGGAACAGCTTTATATATATATATATATATATATATTTAAGAGCTCTATTTCCATGGCTTATTACCATGATTTATCATAGCAGAAAGTGTGAATCGTGTGTATGTGCATGGGTGTGCATGTGCAAATGTGTGTCGACACTTGATATACATCGTCTGTGTATTTGTTTAACTTGTTTGCATGAAGAGAATGGATAGTGACAGATGAAGAGTTGGAGACAAAGTGGGAAGGATGGAGTAGTCAGGATTTATACATGTCAAGCACTGGTTTACGATGCTTGGGAAAATTTTCTAGAATTAATTACATTTATAATACTTTTCAGTATATATGTTCATTTGATAAGTGTGTCTGATTGTTTTCATATCAGGGGAAGCAAAGATGGAGACATCTGTGTGGTTGAAGTAAAGAAAATGGAGATCAGCCATTGGAGCAAGAGGCTACACCTGGGTACATCCATTGCATCACTAGAGTTCTGTCCTGGTCAAAGGTAAGTTTCGGTGAAACAAGTACTATTTTGGCTAATCATTGCCAGGGCAAATAATTTGGTATTTAGTTTTTCCAAATAGTGCTTCTAGATTGCTGTAGTCATGTGATCAACCTTAAAAGATCATGGATCCCTTGACCTTTTCCAGATTGAGTGCATCTCATCAAACAAATATGACTGTGGTTGTTGTTACCGTAGCAATGACTGAGAGATGCTTCAAATGTGGTTTTCTGCTTGCTTGGTTGTTTTTTGTTTTTTTGTTTTTTGCAACTGCTTGGTAGTTTAGATACAGAAAGTTACTATATTTTATTTAAAAGCTTATCTGCTTATCTTGTTTCTACTATGTCTAATAACATATTTATATGGATTTTCTGAATAGCAATTAATTTAAAATCCTGCTTTTGTTGTCATTCTCCCAACTACATGAGATGGGTAAATATCAATTTTGCTTTGCCAGTCTCCAGGTGATGTCACTTTTAGATTATTGTGGTGTTTTTTGGGTCTTCAATAAACACCATTTTCTTTGCTGGCACTCTCTAATCTTCCCTCCGGATCACAATTTTAACTTACCTAAATGAACTTGTGGCAATCTTTCAATCTATGTTATTATAGATCCTATTGATGTATCTTATGTTGGAAGTATATTTTATTAAATAAGTGGGTTTGATCCTTTTGCTGTTTCTTTTTTAGTTATTTTTTTTATTTGAGTGTTATTATTATTATTTTTATCTTTGTTAGGGTTAGTTTGGTTTGAAGCCATCGATCAAATTAATTACAGTTGGTATTCATTTGTATACAAGCTTTTTGTTGGTACCATACATTTTATTGTGGACCATAAAAATGGGTGTGAACCCTAAACATGTCATTCTCCATGCCTTAAAAGATATTGCACACACCATTGGACCAATGGTTCATCATGAATTTTAAAGATTTCATTTGATAATTGGTTGGGTACCTTTTGTTTATTCTGTGTGATTGAATTTTAGCCTCTTTTTGGCCTTTCACCTTGTAACATTGTCTTAGTATACATTCAACCAACTAGCCATGCAATGGATTTACAATCTTTATCTGCGAAATTTACTTATCTATCAAAGTCCAAAGATGTGTAGAGTTACATCTTGAGATGGCACCCTGGACTATATAATACCTGGTTCAGCTGCTTGATTTCCCTTATTGTTGCTTTGTTGCAGGGTTGTGCTTACATCTTCTAGTCAGTGGGGAGCCATGGTAACAAAATTAAGTGTTCCTGCAGACTGGAAAGGTATTCCTCTCTCTCTCTTTCTCTCTCTCTCTCTTACACACACACACACACACACACACATTTATGTGAACAATGTGAAGGGATACAAGAATGATGATCTTATTATTTTCATGTGCAGAGTGGCAGATCTATTTGCTGCTTTTAGGACTGTTTTTGGCATCAGCAGTTGCATTTTACATATTCTTTCGGAATTCTGATTCATTTTGGAACTTCCCTCTTGCAAGAGAACAACAAACAAGACCAAAGACAGATTCACTTTTAGGGGATGCACAATCAGATGATCCAAATGTGTGGAATGCATTCGGACCTTTAGATATGTGAGCATTTACTTGATCCAATCAATTTGGAGATACCATCGAAGTACAAATCATCTTGTGCCTAGTAACTTGCTTGTTTTCAACTATATTTGTGTCTTTCAATCGGATGTTTCACTAAAATAACTTGTTTAGTAATTTTTTTAATCCCCTTGAATTATACAGAAAAGGGTCTTTGATAATAATACATTGAAGATTTATCACATTCAGACTCAGTTACAGCCTTTAAGCGATGATAATTGTCATAGTTCAACTACATATGTTCAATTATAGTTTTAGTACAGAACAGGGACCAATACACCAAAGAATCCTAAGCAAAATCCCAATTCCACGCTTAGAAAAGACCAGTTCACTTCATGTCGATCATCCAGGTTTTTTCCTGCGCTGGGGCTGAACTTCACAGCATTGGAGCTATCAGTTAGGGGTGGTCCATGGAGCTCAGTGCCAAGAAAGCTGGATACACTTAAGCTTTGTAACTGAGTACTCGTCGGGATTTTCCCAGTAATTTTGTTATAGGACAAGTTCAGGTGACTCAAGAAGGTGAGGTAAGAGATACTTGGAGGGATTTCACCAGAAATGTTGTTTGTTGATAAATCAACAGATTCTAATGATCCCATTGCACCAATGTTGGCAGGAATGGTTCCTAGCAAAAGATTATGTGAGAAATTCAATGATTGCAGGCCTACAAGACTTGTCACCTCCTCGGGGATCTCACCTGATAAATTGTTATCTGAAAGGTCCATTGTTTTAACTAGTTTAAGGGTAGTGCTATAATCCACCACCCTTCCTTTCATCACAAGTAATATATCCTCAAAAAAGCTTCCCTTGGACGTTTTGTAAAATATCTTGTTATCGGATTTATTTCTCGAGGCCATGGCATTGAGATTGTTGATACAGCTCGGAATATCACCTGATAATTTGTTGTGGGAAAGGTCCAGGATCTGAAGAGATGATAGGTTACAAAGTTGTTTAGGTATGGTACCATTAAACTTGTTTGTGTGAAGGCTGAAGATGATTAATTTTGATAACCTTTCTCCCATCCATGGTGGTATGTCTCCGGAAAGTTGATTAGCACCAAAGTCAACGGTAAGCAATTCACCGCAATTTTTTAGAGAGGGTACTTCACCAACTAGACTGTTGTTGCGTATGTGTAATGATTGAAGAGAAGTTAAGGTTCCCATGGAACTTGGAATCCTACCACTGAAATTGTTGTCACATAATTTTATGGCCACCAACCTTGGAAACATCTTCCAACAGTCAGGTATTTCTCCTGATAAAAGATTATTGCCGAGATTGAGAACTTCCAATTTCATTGGCTCATTCACTTTGTAGCACAAGAAATGAGAGGTAGATCCTGACATGGAATTGTTAGAAAGATCTACAGCAGTCACATTAGATGAAAGACGAGGGAGTGGGCCACTGAAATTATTTGAGCTGAGATCAATCACGACAGGAGGATGAATCATTGCCAGTAAATCAGGAATGTTACCTTGGAATTGGTTTCGAGAGATATTCAGGTATGACAGATTGGAAGACAAGTTCCAAAACCAAGTTGGGATTGGAGTTTCTCGGAAACCATTGTCGCTTAGGTCCAAGTAACTTAAATACTTCAAATCTAGCAGAGAAGGATTCAACTTGCCACCCAACTTCGATCTTACATATGCTTCAGCTTCAGCATTTGATGCAAACACACCCTGAGAACTCCCAAGATGGAGCTTGATAACATGGCCAGTTTCATTGTTACAGACAATTCCATCCCATTTGCAACAATCTCCATCATGGGTCCAAGCAGCTAGCCGGTTTGAAGGATCTTCGAGATCTTGCTTAATCCTCAAAAGAGCTTGTCTCTCGCTCTGAATGCATGTGACGTTGTGGTTTCTGGCGGAAAAGCCAAGTTTAGAAGTTATTAGACATTGCAACATAAGCAAAGTAATTGTAACAGAACCCATAACCCCACCGATCGCCAAGCAAATCTATAAAAAGAAAAAAAAGAAAAATTTTAAAAAACATATATTTTGCTTATGAAGATTTTGTTTTCACTGGAAAGTATTCGCTTTATAGCAGAGATTTCCTGTGTTTCAATCGAATGAGAAATTTTCCAAGGAACATCTGTATCTTTGACTGATTGTTTCTTGTGGAAAACTTTTCTATGCTATCAGCCCAACTGAGACTCAATGCTTAACAGGTTGGAAGTCTAGAAAATAATGAGAGTGGTAATGAGAGTGAGGCACACAAAAATACGTTAAGATATTGTCTAAAGTTTCAACTATTTTAAAGGTTTGGTAACAAAGTGTATACCAAAATTCAATAAACTTGACTTTAATGATACAATTCTGAATTTGGTTTGGCACACCTTAGAAGACTGCACCTTTCCTTTGACATTTATAATATGAAGATATGTTTGATGCTATTTTCTTTGAAAATTTTTTGATGGAGAAACCGATTGACTTTAGGTTAAATTGTCATCCACGTGAATAGTAGCAATAGAAGCATACGAGCATTACCCACAACCGCAACTTTCTTTTCTTTATCAGATTCAAAGCATAATTAGCAAAGTATTTCAGTCTCCTTATACATGATTCAAAATGCGTGTATTTTACATATACTACACCAATTAGTTTTTGGTGTCACATTTTAGACATGTAATCCTTTTAAATTGGATACTATTTGCTTTCACGTTACATCAATTTTTGAATAAGAATATACTTTTTGATTTTTTTTAGAATTTTATTGGAAAATTTAATAAAATAATATGGATGAAAAGAGTTATCGGAAGTATAAGACAGCATAAAAGCAATTAGTTTTGGTGTCACATTTTAGACATGTAATCCTTTTTAATCAGATACCATTTGATTTGATACTATTTACTTTCCCATTATAGCAGTTTTGAATAAGAACATATTTTTTGATTTTTTTTAAAAATTTTATTAGAAGATTTAATGGAATAATAGGGACCAGAAAAGTTATTGAAAGTATAAGACAATTAAAAAGTAAACAAAAAAGGCTATTCAAGAGTCAAAGAGTAAGATCCATAAAGAGTTATATAGAAAACTAGAGACAAGAGTTAGAAAAAAAGAATTGTTCAAAATTGCTAAGATGAGAGATAAGAAGAGTAGAGATCTTAATGGTGTTATATGCATCAAAGGCAAATACTGAAGAGTTTTAGTGAAGGATGAAAAGATTAAAAATAGATGGAGAGATTATCTAGATAATATTTTTAATAGTAGTTTTAAGAATGATATTGGTGAGTTGAACATCCTTTCTCAGGATATAAATTGTGTGTTTAAACGTAATATTAAAAGTTATGTAGTTAAAAAAGCTTTGAGAATGATGAGATTAAAGAAAACTATAGGACTGGATATAATCTCGATTGAAATTTGGAAATGCTTAGGTGAAATAGAGTTAAGATGGTTGATGGATCTTTTCAATAAAATTTGGTATGCCCAAAAGATGTCAAAAGAATAGAGAAAGAGTACTCTTGTGCCTTTATACAAGAATAAAGGTGTTGCACAAAATTGTTCGAACTATTGGGGAATAAAACTTATGAGTCATACTATAAAACTTTGGGAGAGAATAACTGAATGTAGGTTGTGATGTGAGGTTACTATTTTTGAAAACTAATTTGGGTTTATGCCAAGATGCTCCACAACAGAGACAATCCACCTTTTAAGGCTTTTATTGGAGGGATTTGGGGAGAGAAAGAATGATCTATGTATGGCATTTATCGATTTAGAGGAAGCATACAATAGAGTTCTTCAGAGGTGCTTTGGTGGGCCTTAATGAAGAAAAGAGTCATTTTAAAGTACATCAACATAATTAAAAATATGTATAAAGAAGTAGTAACAAATGTGAGGACAGCTGGGGGCATGACATCTAGCTTCTCTATTACCAAGGCTTAGCATTAAGTCCTTTCCTTTTTGTATTAGTTATGGATGAACTCACTAAACATATCTAAGTTAAGGTGTCATGGTTTATGTTATTTACTGATGATATAGTCTTAGTTGCTGAAACTTGTGATGCTCTTAATATGAAATTAGAATTATGGAAGAGTACATTGGAGTATTGAGTTTTTAAATTGAATAGATCTAAAACTAAATATATGAAATGCAAGTTTAGTAATTACAAGTAAGTGTGTACTAGTGTCATTAAGTTAGATGGTGAAGGAGTACCAAAGAGTAGTCAGTTTCGATATTTAGGATCAATTATTTAGAGTGATACTGAAATAGAAGCAGATGTCAAACATATGATTTAAGCATAATGGCCGAGGTGACAAAGTGCACCAAGTGTTTTGTGCGATTGCATTATGCCTTTAAAGTTAAAAGTGAAGTTTTATAAAATAATTGTAAGGCCTGCATTACTTTATGAAACTGAGTATTGGGTTATTAAGAAATAATATGAGCAAAAAGATGAATGTAGCGGAGATAAAAATGCTTAGATAGATGTATGATAAGACTAGAAGAGACAAAATAAAAAATGAAGAGATTTGAAAAAAATTAAGGGTAATCCGAATCGAAGAGAAGACGAGAAATGACTATTTGTAATGGTTTAGATATATAAAACGTAGGTCTAGAAGTGCACCGATTAAAAGAATTGAATCTCTAGATCTAAGAGAGTTCAAAACATCCAAAGGTAAACTTGGAAAGATATTGATGCAAGTAATTAAAAATGATATAATTAAAGAATTAGACGAAAAGGTGATTGTTGATGGAAATAAGTAGCGTAAGAAGATTCAAATTACAACCTAACCTGATTATTTTATTTAGTTTTTTCATATAGCTGGCCTCAGATTATGGGATATAAGACTTAGTGTGTTGTTGTAGAATTTAATTGAAAATAAAAAAGATACAATAAAGAGAGGCTTTCACAAATTCAAACTCAGGATAACAACCAAAACAGATAACTAAGGAACCCAAATCCAAAACCAGAACATCTAAACCCCCCAAAATATAAACTTCCCAGGCTATAATACCTATCAGAAAAAAATACATTTAATCTTTTTAGTGTCATAACGTCTAGATCCGGAGATCCATCGCTAGACATTGGCTTGAATGAGTCACCACCAATCTTTTTTATTTAGTTACGATTGGTCACCTAAGGAATCTATCCTTTTAAGGAACATATAAGCTTAAGGCTCCCTAAAAGAATATGTTCGGGTCTACTAACCAGAACAGGGTTTGGGAGTTCGGTTATGTGTGAGGAAGGTTATAGCACCCTCACAACGCCCATCAAAAGATGGTACTAGCTTAATTTTGTGTTATCCAATAAGCCTCATAAATTTACCAAGTAATTAACTATTGGAAATTAATCTCAATTGACTCTAATATTTTTAGCAAAAAATTGAAAAAATCTTCTCACCTCAAGAGTATGCAAGAAAACTACTATCTCACTTGCAGAGGCTCCATTGTCGGATTATTTAATATTAAAGAAAATTCAAGAAAATAAAAAAAATGATTGCTTTTGTGCAGGAAAAATTGATAATTTCAACTTTTCTCCAAAATATTTTTTAGAAACTTTAATTTTGAGAAAAATTGATACTTTCAACTTTTCCCAAAAATATTTTTTAGAAAGCTTATTTTAAAAAAAAATTGATAAATTGATACTTTCAACTTTTCCTCAAAAATATTTTTTAGAAAGCTTATTTTCAAGAAAAATTGATACTTTTAACTTTTTTTCAAAAATATTTTTTTTAGAAAACTTATTTTCAAAGAAAATTGATGCTTTCAACTTTTCTTCCAAAATATATCTTTTTTAAAAAACTTATTTTCAAAAAAAATTGATACTTAACTTTTCCTTAAAGATTTTTTTTTTTTTACGAAAATTGATACTTTCAACTTTTCCTCAAAAATATGTCTTTTTTAGAAAACTTATTTTCAAGAAAAATTGATATTTAACTTTTTCTTAAAAATATTTTTTTTTAGAAAACTTATTTTCAAGAAAAATTGATACTTTCAACTTTTCATTTAAAAATATTTTTTTGAATTTTATTTAAAGGAAATAAAATAAAAAAATAAAATAAAAATGAAAATAAAAATAAAGAAAAATAAAATAAAATGTGTTAAACAATTCTAATCTAATCAATAAATAATAATAATAATAATAATAATAAATAAATAAATAAATAAATAAATAAAAAATGAAAAATAATAAAAAAAACCTGGGGATGGCTTTGCTTGGTGGCTCGGTTCGGCGCGGCTTGAAGAAGAAAAGACGGCTCGAAGACGTAGCTCGACTCGGCTTCGAAAACAGCTCGCACTTGGGTTGAACGCGGGTCGAAAGCGGGTCGACGCTCGGGTCGGATCGTCCGATTTCAAAACGTGCGGATCCTCTGGGCATAGTAACACCAAAACGACGTTATTTTCACTGGGTATAAAAGGCTAATTCGTCTATTTTTCAGCAGATAGAGCCTTCCCTCTCTCTCTCTTCTTTTCCTTTCCTCTCCCTTCTCTCTAAACCACGAAGAACTCCGGTTGAATCTCGTCAGATTCTAAAAAATTTTATCGAAATTTGAGTTTTTCACCGGAAGTTCATCGAAAAATTGATTGATTTCTAGAAATAATCGCTGGCAACTAGGAAGCTAGCCAAAAAATTCAAACTTAATCGAAAAAGTCATCGAAAAATACAAAGCTCGTTGAAAAATTCAACCGAAATCTGAAAATTTTTCAGAAAAAAAATTACCAAAAATCCAAAAAAATTCCCACAAATTTCTAGAGCTGTTCTAACGCACCAAAACCCCTTTTTAACTTCTGTTTCTTCTCTGTTCACTCTCTCTCAGCTAGTATCTACCTTTTTCTGTGTTCTAGCCACTATTTATAGGGATTGATCAGAAGAGTTTCTGATCAATTCTTATTACTTTTTGGATTGAGATTCAATCTTTGAATCCAATCTAAATTCTGATTGAATCTCAAATTCACGGTAAAACTCAAGTTTCTATCCTAATCCAACTCCAATCGGGTAAAGGAAAGAAGAAAAGAAAAAAATAAAATAAACAATAAAATAAAAAAAAATAAGGATAATATATTAATTAATAGATAAATAATAATAATAATTGATAAATTATAATAAAGTATGTATAAATACTAAATATGTATATATTAATAAATAGTAACAATAAATAAATAAATAATAAATAAATAAGATACAAAAAATAAAAATACCAGAATAAAAAATAAAACGGGCCTACCTATTTGGACCAAGCCTAATTGATCCCAAATTGGGTGTCTACAGCTGCCCATCTTTGCACATTTTCTATGAAACAAAAATTACGCAAAGACGTAGACACCCATTCAAGACTCCACTCGACCTCTTTTTTCTTTTTTTTGTGTTAAAAATTTGATCAAAACTCCTCTAAGCAGAGGCTCAACGACTTTGAAAAACATAAACAAAGCTCCTCTAATCAGAGGCTCAACGACTTTAAAAATGATTAAAGCTCCTTTAATCATAGGCTCAACGACTTTGAAAATAAACGGCTCCTCTAAACAGAGGCTCAATGACTTTGGAAAATAAACGGCTCCTCTAATCAGAGGCTCTACGACTTTGAAAAATAAACGGCTCCTCTAATTAGAGGCTCTATGACTTTAAACAAAGCTCCTCTAATCAGAGGCTCTACAACTTTGAAAAATAAATGGCTCCTCTAATCAGAGGTTCAACGACTTTTGAAAAATAAAAGGCTCCTCTAATCAGAGGCTCAACAACTTTGACAAAATAAATTGCTCCTCTAAACAGAGGCTTAACAACTTTAAAAGTAAATTGCTCTTCAAACAGAGGCACCTCAACTTTTGAAAGTAAATTGCTCTTATAAATAGAGGCACAGCAACTTTTAAAAGTAAATTGCTCCTTAACAATCATGTTCAAAGGAGTTATAGATCGTGACTGAAGGAATTTTGTAATGAGAACTCAAGGATTCACAATTTGAGTTCAACATTCAAAAGTTCAGATTCGCAAGAATCTTTCAACTTCGTAAGAATTTATTGAAATTTAATTTTTAAAATTTCAGTTTCATTCAAATTTGTAATATCTCGAGATTTACATTTGTAACTTACAAGACTCGCATCCAACATTTAAAGATCCTTATTTGAATTTTGGAGATTCATATCCAAAAGTTCAAGGCTTTTCAAAGGTTCACATTTGGCAAACTTGGAATTCATATCCAAAAATCTAAAGCTTTTCATTTAAATTTTGGAGATTCACATCCAAAAATTCAAAGCTTTTCATTTGAGTTCAAAGGCTCACATCTAATAAAACTTAGAGTTTCATATATAAGTTCAGAGGTTCTCATTTAAAACATTAGAAATTTATATCCAAAAAGTTTTTAAAGATTCACATCCAAAAGTTTAAAACTTTTCATTTGTTCGAAGATTCACATTCGATGAACTTTAGGGTTTCACTCCTCAAAGATTCTCATTTTGAAACTCAAAGATTCTCATTTGAGTTCTAAAAAATTCTCATCAAAATATTCATAATTTACTTTTCAAGTGACTAAAAAATTTGCATGAATGAATGTTATGACAAAAAATGCAAATGCCTTCTTAATGATGCAAATGTAACAACCTAGATTTTCATAGTGCCATGTATGTCCAAACATCTAATTATGTGAATGTACTATTTAAGCAATGATGCCAACATGTTGCATGTAATGCGAATGTCAATAATGTCATAAAATCTTAAATAATTATGGAATATGGTCCTCAAGACCCTACCATCTCACATTCTCCCTTTATTTAGCTTCTCAACATTTTAGAACAAGCTTCATCAACTAATCATCATTGTTTCCATTACTTGATCACCATCCAGAGATTTTTTAGCGCCAATAAATTTTATCTATTACTCTACATGCCAGGCTTATCTGCACTAACCATTTCAAAATAAATTTCATGTTCTGTCACTTGGTTATCATTCATAAGCTTCTCAACACCAGTTTCGTCTATTGCTCCATATCATTTTCATCATTTAACCATAACTCATAGGTTATATCAACCAATACATCCCCATATTCATCACTTGATTATACCACTTTTCAAGATTTACCCCATCTTCATTTTATTGTCCAATCCATCATCATATTCTCCATTTGGTCACACATATGTCCTTTCAAATCATCTATTTTAGGTTTTAACCATTTTTTCATTTTGTTACCACCTTCATCTTAGATTTCTCTTTAAAAAAATGCAAGATTTTTTTATGCACATTGTCATTCATTCATCATCATTTCAATTCTTGACAATTATAATGCACTCATACATTTTCTTGATTTATTCTAAGGATGTAACAATAAGAGAACACAAGGTGAATTATGGTAAAGATAATCAATGAAGATCTATTTTGGTACAAAACAAATGGGAAAGGAAATAAATTGGATAAATGTCATTGGGATGAATGGTATGTCCAAATGATGAATATTCAGACAATTCTCAACATTAATCTATGATTCTTTTTCAAAAACTCATTCCATTTATTGTTAAAGTCATTTTGAGCTTGGTGAACTTTGCCTCAGTTTTTGAGGGATCTTCAGATGTCTTTGATCTTCCATTTATGTGAACCATTTGACCTAGATCGTTTTTTACCCAAATCACCTTTGTAGGTTTTCAATTTGAATATTTTTTTTCGTTATCTCATTTTTTTTCTTTCTTTCTTTTTTTCTCTATTTTTTCATCATTTTCTTTTCTTTTTTCTCATTTTTCATTCATTGTTGATATCTTTCCACACATCAAACTTTAGAGCAATGTAGCATGATTCCATTATTTCATCATGAGCATGCCTTCGTTCAACATATGATCATTCAAGTTGAGCATTCACACTTGATCCAAATGAACTTTTCAAGATTGTAATGTAGGTCAAGGTGAGGGGTCATAAAAGAAATGGATATAATAGGCTCAAAACATGTATTAAAAAGGTTCAAGACTGAAGGATCATTTGATGAACTTGGCATTTTGCCCCCACATCATTTCACTACTTTTTTTTCCTCACACAAAGGATTCTCATTATTTTACCCCAAATCATGTGTGGCATTTACTTTGTCTTTTACTTTTCTTTTTCTTTCCATCTTTGAGATTGTCACAACGTCTAGATCCGAAGATCTATCACTAGATATTGACCTAAGGAGTCACCACCAATCTCTTTTATCTAGGTGCGATTGGCCACCTAAGGAATCTATCCCTTCAGGGAACACCTAAGTTTAAGGGTCCCTAAAAGAATAGGTTCGGATCTACTAACTAGAACAAGGTTCGGGAGTTCAGTTACGTGTGAGGAAGGTTATAGCACCTTCACAACGCCCATCAAAAGATGGTACTAGCTTAATTTTTGTGTTATCCAATAAGCCTTAAAAATTTATCAAGTAATTAATTATTGAAAATTATTCTCAATTGACTCTAATACTTTTAGTAAAAAATTAAAAAAATTCTCTTATCTCAAGAGCATACAAGAAAACTACTGTTTCACTTGCAGAGGCTCCATCATCAGATTATTTAACCTTAAAAATAATTCAAGAAAAATAAAAGAAAAAAATGGTTGCTTTTGTACAGAAAAAATTGATACTTTCAAACTCTTTCCCAAAATATTTTTTAGAAACTTTAATTTTGAGAAAAATTGATACTTTCAACTTTTCCTCAAAAATCCATTTTTTGAAAACTTATTTTCAAAGAAAATTGATATTTTCAACTTTTCTCCAAAAATATTTTTTTTGAAAATTTATTTTTAAGGAAAATTGATACTTTCAACTTTTCCCTAAAAATATTTTTTTTAGAAAGCTTATTTTCAAGGAAAATTGATACTTTCAACTTTTTCTCAAAAATATTTTTTTAGAAAGTTTATTTTCAAAGAAAATTGATATTTTCAACTTTTCCTCAAAAATATTTTTTTTAAAAAATATTTTCAAAAAAAATTGATACTTTCAATTTTTTCTCAAAAATATTATTCTTGAAAAATTTATTTTATATTTTTTGTTCTTTTTTATTTATTCATGCAAAAAATATTCTAAAAAAAATAAACAAGCACATAAATAATAAAAAAAAATAAAAAAAACTAAAGAAAAAAGGTTTTTGCTTTTCGCCAGATGGGGGCCTCTCTTTTCACCTTGCGGAGTTTCTTAATCAAAGCCATGGGCTTTCGCTTGAGACCCCTCTGGAACCTTCTGTGGACATGAGTAGGGAACAACTTGACTAGCTCATCGCTGGACATATCAAGGTGAGCATCCAAATCAATTCCTCTGAAGCTAAATTTCTTGAATGTTATTTCAAGAGTGCGCACCTTTGCTGCAACCTTCATTGATCCAAATTTGCACCGAATGAGAGAACTGGAAGCCACTCTTTCAATGTCATCACTTATGGTCATAGAAGGGAAAGAACAACTCAAGACAGGATAACTTTCAGTTAAAGAAGTTTTTATTTGACTAAAGGGGATATATCTGTAAAAGTATTCAGATCCGTCTCTTCTCTGGACAACCAAAATTACCTACATGCTCTTAGCTAGAATTCCTGAAATCATTTGTGTATTCAAGCAACATATCATGAAAGACTTCGACTTTTGGGCGATCTGCATGATTTTTCTTTGTACCTCGACGGAAGACATCAAAAAGAAATCTAAGTGTTTCTATTTCAGCCTCTGTTCCAGATTGGGTCATTACAGTTTCACTCTATGATTCCCGTGTCTTTCTGTAATCTCTCTTTTCTTTTTATCGTATGCTTTTCTTTATATCTCTCCCTCAAATCTATTTTTTATCAGTTTCTGATATCTGGATCTTTCTTCCTGTTGCTGTTCCTTAGCTTCCTGTAATTTTTGTAAAAGAATGATTAGTAATACAAGAGAAGGAACCAAAAAATCAATCAAACACTGTTCACGATTATGTTTCAGCAATAAATCAGATATAGAATTGTATTCAATATCCTCATCAACAAGATAATCAAAGGACGAAGTAAACTGCAGGTCTCCTTTGGACCTAAGGCTAGTGATGAAGTAGTTTGAACACTGGCAAGAATTAAGTGGAAGAGGCCAGGAGTCTAACCATATACTGACCAATAAGCAAGAGTTGATGTGACAAGTTGGCAGATGGCTTTAAAACTAAGGGCAGAATTAGGATAGGGAGAGGATAAATCAGCTACACAAGCTGGAAGCTTTGGGCTTACTTCTCGATGCAATCGTAATAATGCATTCCAGTTTTTTTCTCCTTCTTTTTCTTGTATATTCATTGTTGATATATATATTCATGTTGATAAAGTTTCAATTCAATTTCAATTAGTCATCCAATACTAAAGATTAGTATCTAAATAACAATCATCACAATCATCAAGCCTAATATCAATCTTTGAGCTTTTTTTCTTTTTTTTTAATTAATCAGATAATCAAGAAAAAGAAAAAGAACATAAATCATAAAATAAAAATAAAAGTAATAAATATGAAATAAAAAATCTCTACAATCGAGCTTGAATTAGTTTAAATTGACAAAGAATCTTGGATAAAAAGGGGTATCTACAGCTGCCCTTTTTTACACATTCTTTGCGAAGTAAGAATTATGCAAAGATGTAGACACCCATTCAAGACTAAACTTGACACTTTTTTATTTTTTTTTCTTCTTTTTTTTGTTTTATTATTTTTTTTTAAATTTTAATCAAAGCTCCTCTAAGCAGAGGCTTAACGACTTTGAGAAACAAATGGCTCCTCTAATCAGAGGATCAACGACTTTAAAAAATAAATGGCTTCTCTAATCAGAGGCTCAACGACTTTGAAAAATAAATAAATTTTATAAGTAGAAGCACCATGACTTCAAAAATAAATGCTCCTCTAAACAAAGGCACCACAACTTTGAAAAGTAAAAAATAAATGCTCCTCTAAACAAAGGCACCACAACTTTGAAAAGTAAATTGCTCCTTTAAACAGAGGCACCTCAACTTTGAAAAGTAAATTGCTCCTTTAAATAGCGGCAACCACGACTTTGGAAAATAAATTACTCCTTAACAATCATGTTCAAAGGAGTTATAGATGTGATTGAAGGAATTTTGTAATGGGAACTCAAGAATTCACAATTTGAGTTCAACATTTAGAGGTTCAGATTCGTAAGAACCTTTCAACTTCGTAAGAATTTACTGAAATTTGATTATCAAAATTTCAGTTTCGTTCAAATTTGTAAGATCTCAAGATTTGTATTTACAACCTGCAAGACTCACATCAAAGATCCTCATTTGAATTTTGGAGGCTCACATCCAAAAGTTCGAGGCTTTTTAAAGGTTTGCATTTGGCAAGCTTAGGATTCACATCTAAAAATTCAAAGCTTCTCATTTGAGTTTAAAGGCTCAGTAATAAAACTTAGAGTTTCACATCTAAGTTCAAAGGTTCTCATTTTAAAAAATTTAGAGATTCATATCCAAAAAGTTAAAGCTTTGTATTTTGGAGATTCACATCCAAAGTTCAAAACTTTTCATTCTAGTTCGAAGATTCACATTCGATGAACTTTAAGGTTTCACTCCTCAATGATTCTCATTTTGAAAGTCAAAGATTCTCATTTGAGTTCTCAAAAATTCTCATCAAAATATTCATAATTTTTTTCAAGTGACTAAAAAATTTGCATGAATGAATGTTATGACCAAATAAGCAAATGCCTTCTTAATGATGCAAATGAGGTAACCTATATTCTCATGTGCCATGCATGTCCAAACAAAGTTTAATTCATCAAATTATGTGCTTGTACTATTCAAGCAATGATGCCACCATGATGCATGTAATGTAGACGTCTATGTCATAAAATTTTAAATAATTATGGTAATATGGCTATCAAAACTTTACCATTTCGCATGTCTTCCTTGTTCAGTTTCTCAATACTTTGGAACAAGTTTCATCAATCGATCATTATTTGACCATTATTCATGGACTTCTCAACACTAACAAATTTCAGAACAAGTTTTATCCACCATCACTGGGTCATTACTCATAGATGTCTCAGTATTAACCATTCTAAAACAAACTTTGTCCACTGATTATTTTCATCATTCAATCACAACTTGCAAGTCATGTCGACCAATTCATCCTTGTACTCATTACTTGGTCATCATTCATAAGCTTTTTGTACCAATTTCATTTATTGCTCCATATCATTTTCATCACTTAACCATAACTCATAGGTTATATCAACCAATACATCCTCATATTCATCACTTGATTATACCACTTTTCAAGATTTACCCCATCTTCATTTTATTGTCCAATCCATCATCATATTCTTCATTTGGTCACATCATATGTCCTTTCAAATAATCTCTTTTAGGTTTTTGCCATTTCTTTATTTTGTTACCACCATCATCTTAGATTTTTTTTCAAATGAATGCAAGACTCTTTTAAGCACATATTCATTCATTCATTATCATTTCAATTTTTGACAAATAAAATGCAATCAAGCATTTTCTCAATTCATTCTAGGGGTGTAACAATAAGAGAACACAAGGTGAATTATGGTGAAATAATCAATGAAGATCTATTTTGGTACAAAACAAATGGGGAAGGAAATAAATTGGATACATGTCATTGGGATGAATGGTATGTTCAAATGATGAAGATTTAGATAATTTTTAACATTAATTTAGGATTCTTTTTCAAAAACTCATTCCATTTGTTGTTGAAGTCATTTTGAGCTTTACAAATTTTACCCTAGTTTTTGAGGAATCTTCAGATATCTTTGATCTTCCATCCATGTGAACCATTTGACCTAGATCTTTTTCTACCCAAATCACCTTTTCAGGTTTTCAATTTGAATTTTTTTTTTCATTCTCATTTTTTTCTCCATTTTTTCATTTTTCATTTTTTCATCATTTTTCATCCATTGTTGATATCTTTCCACACATCAAACTTTAAAGCAATGTAGCATGATTTCATTATTTCATCATGAGCATGCTTTCGCTCAACATATGATCATTCAAGTTGAGCATTCACACTTGGTCTAAATGGACTTTTCAAGGTTGTAATGTTGGTTAAGGTGAGGGGTCATAAAAGAAATGGATATAATAGGCTCAAAACATGTATTAAAAAGGTTCAAGACCAAAGGATCATTTGATGCAACTTGGCATTTTGCCTCCACATCATTTCACTACTTTTTTCTTTCCTCACATAAAGAATTCTCATTATTTTACCTCAAATCATGTGTGGCATTTATTTTTTCTTTTATTTTTCTTTCTCTTTCCATCTTTGAGACCTTTTATGATATTTTTTTTCAAAAATTACCCCCAAGTGTAAAAGGTGATCCTTGGTTAGGGTTCTTCACAAAAAGAAATCATAATAGGCTCAAAGGGATAGTAATAAATGGTTTTTTGAATGGTAAAAAAAAGATAGCCATTTTTCATCTCAATTGTGAATACTTTTATTGAACATCATCTATTGAACAAAGCTCATGAACCTATATAAAAGATTGCACATCTTTAAAATATATCTATTTCACCTCTGGTAACGGCTTATTTTTTTGCTCAAATGATCTTCTCATATTAATGTAGATGAGTTATCAAAATTAAATCTCAGAATTATTGTTATCATTGTCTAAATATTCATCATCTGAAATTTGAGAATGGGAATGTAAAGTTATGAAAGGTAATAGGGCATGGAATAATGGTTGAGTGAAAGAGAAAATGTAATGAAATGCATTAACTTGCCTTTATTAAGATGATAACAAGTGAAATCATATTGCAAAAAAGAAATCCTAACATTACTTTAAAAGAACTCTTAGAATGACAAGTAGCATTCAACCAGTTTTAACATCCTCTTTAAAATCATGCCCCTCTGCAATCAAATGAAAGATTTTTATCTCGCCTCATTGATTCATTACGACGTTTCATATTCTTAATCCTCAAACAAAATGATTGGGCTTTTTCTGTCGAGTTCTAAAGATACAGGCTTGACCATTTGAGTGGCTGTTTCCATTATCATGCTCCTGTTGTAGTGCTTTTGGTAAAGGTAATCTTGTCAACATTGGGATGAGATACCAAAGAAATCATAACTTTCAGGCCCGATCCAATCAGAATGTTCAAGACACTTGGAAAAAAACTAACCTTCCTACACATGTCAGCCAGCTCTAAACAGGTGATAGATACCAACTAGAAAGGCTTCAGTATTGTAGCACAATTTGTAGCCAAAGCAAGAGCTACTTTTCAGGCGACCATCAACAGTGGATAATTCTATAAAGTAATCAATTCGACCCCAAGTGGTTCATTAAGCACATAACTCTTAAATTTCTCAATAGGAAGAGAGATAGCAACCTTTTGCTTCACATCTAAACCTTCAGCAAGGTACGTATAGTACTTAAAACATCCAGTAACATCATCAATGTCCCAAGTTACTTCATCAATTGGTTTCTCATA